CTGCTCAATGGATCCATTTAGTTGTTTTGCAAATTATTAAGTCAATTACAACTCACTCGTTTACTCACTCAATGACTGCGCGGTATTTATTAAACCTTTCATCCTTACATCGCATCAAAATTACTTAAAAACATTAATATACTTAACAAAACTTAAAGCTTGGAATAGGCTGTTAAGAATCAAAAAATGGACACGCAAGGAAAATCACAGTTGCCTATTAGCATGTGATAATTGCTTCAGTTGGATGTTAGACGAAAAACACTGCTCGTATCAAGGCGAAGCCCTTAATATTCCGACTGCCTTTTAAGGTTTATGGAGCAGTTACAATTTGAAAAACTTAAATGTAACAAAATGATCTGCTTTTTTGCCGCTTCTGGTCAAAAAAATTTTGGTCAAACCTTGATTTTAATCGCAGACTCAGAAAGTAACGTACTTCGGTACGGGAATTATTTAGACATATGCTGATATATTCAATTAATTTACATTTATTTACATTTATAACTTAAGAAAAGACAAAGGGGGCTAATTCTCATGCGCGAAGGACCGAATGGGTGAAAAAACTTGTGAGCGAAGGACCGAAAACAAAATTAGCCGAAAGTCAATTTTTAAAAAGACGCAATTGCCATTCAATTAAAATGAATAAAATGAAGCAATATTTTGCTTCTTTCATAATGAAACCCTTGAAATATATAATTTGCTCCAACTTGGCGGCGGCCAGTGACAATTTAAAAGTTTGGCATAATTCTGCCGCTTTTATATTCGGCCAGTATCAAAATTCAGTCACTGGAAATGTTTACTTTCTTTCCAAATTTTAGATTACTGAAATCTGATTGGCTGATTTTTATTTTCGCGCATTCGGTCTTTCACGTGTGAGGGATTCCACCAAAAAAAATACTAGAATTTTTACGGCGCAATTGAGCTGGCAATAATTTAATAACGCCCGAATTTGTAACCCTATTTAATGAACATTTAAGCAGTTATGATAAATTGATATGCAATATAAAATGATAATTCAGCAATTGAAGAACATTTTTCAAAAAAGGCGACGAATCTGTGAAATTTTAGAACGAAAGTTTACTAACATAACTCATTCATTCATATATTTTTCCAAATAAGTGTTTAACACTCGATAAATTTCAAAAGAATGGCAAAAAACTTTCGATACTCATGACTATATTTGAAGCTATTTTCAAAATCGCGTACTGAATCTTTTCTGTTACACGGCCAAAAATTGCCAAAATGTTAATTGAACTTATGTTTTTATTGAAAATTGTGATTTTGTTTAGCTGTTAAAAGTTTTGTTAAATAATTTCAAGCAATCAAATTCCATTTCAAAATAGCAAAAAGATCAGTATTGGGCGGTAAAACAGAAAAAACCGACGTACCGATGGGACCTAATACTCTGATTTGTTGGTTAAAAAAATCTTGAGAATTGCGAAAAATCTTGAGAAAAAAATATCGGTCATTCTATGCTTATTGAGTCAATAAGCAAGGTAATTTTTTTCACAGTATCAAAACCAGTATTCAAAGTACGAAATCTTTCGCTAAAGCATTTCAAAGTATCATATGAAGCTTCTTCAAAGAACCTTTTGAGAATAAAAGAGAATGTAATGATATGAGAGCAAGATATAGAATAACGAAGAAACCTTAGTTACAGTTCTAGCGATAGAAACATTCGATAGGATAGCATGACCGTGATTATATCAACAACATGAGGCCTGGGAAATTAGACGACTCGCAAATTATACGACCACAAACAAAATGAATTTAGACAACAAGAACTGAGCCAACTAAAATTCTTAGAAAAAAAAGCTATAAAAAAAACAAAAATAGTATATTATGACAGAACCGATCAAAATTCTAATTATAAATTTTGCAAACAAACATATGTTTGAAAAAATGTAAACGAATTCTGACAAAATCTGCACAACTCAGTTTTTACCCCGGGTCGAGGTCGGGGACTTATGTTGCGACCATTGCGACTCAAAATGGGTATGTTGCGACCATTGCGACCCAAATCAGGTATGTTGCGACCATTGCGACCCAAAATGGGTATGTTGCGACTTTGCGCGACCGAAGAAATTTTATGCGACTTTGCGCGACCGAAGAAACTTTATGCGACTTTGCGCGACCCAAATACGGTATGTTGCGACTTTGCGCGACCCAAGTAAGGTATGTTGCGACCATTGTGACTCAAAATGGGCATGTTGCGACTTTGCGCGACCCAGAACAGATATGTTGCGACTTCGTGGGACCCAAAAAAGGTATGTTGCGACCATCGCGACACAAAATGGTTATGATCCGACTTTGCGCGACCGAAATATTTGCGCGACTCAACAAAGATATGTTGCGACCTTCTGCGACCCAAAAAAGGTATGTTGCGACCACTGCGACTCAAAATGGGCATGTTGCGACTCAGTGCGACCGAAACATTTACGCGACTTCGCGCGACCCAAAAAAGATATGTTGCGACTTCCCGTTAAACTTTAGTAGAAATGATTACGAATCTTAATTTAGAGACCGCGTATAGTTTCATTGAAGGCACCCGGGAACGCGACATTCTCTATGTTCGCCGAACACTCTCTAGTTCTTTTCAAACAAAGGGAAACAATTTTCGCAACATTACAGATACAAAAACAAAATTTATAGTTCATGTGAAGGAGTCTGAAAAATTATCTAATTCCGATTAATTTGAAATTAAATGAAGGAAAAACTCTAGAGCAAAACTATGTTTACTGGCAAATTAACAATAAAAAGATTCACCGAAGAAAACTTTATTGACGAACTCAACACTAGTAATAAAAGTTGAACACCAAACGCAGCACATAATTTACATAAAAACAGGATGCTAACTTAAACAAAAACTGAACTAAAATTGAGAAAAAAAAAACGATTTTTTGTAGGACAAAACTGAGCAATATACCAAAATGAACGAGTCAAAATTTTGAAAGATCATTAGGTGCGCTTACCCTAAACAGGGCGGAAACACCCGAAAATATTTGAGACAAAAACCAGAAGGCTGTAAAGGAATCTGAAATAGATTGAAAGCTAAAAAGTTGTATAGGGAAAAGGAGATAATCAATCTGCGCTCCAAATTTTTGAAAAGGTCGGACACAGCAGAGACGTTACTTGTACATTAAAAACGCTATGTGTAACTTTCAAAACTGGAAGTTTTAAATTATAGCCAACGTTTTATTAAATGATTTTTCAATGTTCCAATTTCGAAGAAAATAAATATCACGTTGAAGCTAACTTAATATCTAGTTTTTAATGATTTGCACTATTTTCAGCGCCTAAGCCAAAACTAAAGACTACAGTGCAACATAAAAACAATTCCTTAATCCGCTGGAAAATTTGGAACCACAAATTCACTTTCGAATCTATAATTCGTTACAATTCTCTTTGTCATTTGCTTTCATCTAAATCGAGAGTGTGATTCAACTTTCATTTAGCAAACAGATTTGAAATCAATTAAAAAAAATCCAAAAAACCAACTGCGATAAATCGATTTTTAGAAACCTAAAAACCTGCCAAAATATAAGCAAAAACTACAAAGGTACAATTAAGGAGAAAAAAAATCAGTGCTTGTCGATGGCACCCTTAGAAGATTTTTAACGAGTTCAGACAAATCGATTACCTTCCAAAAAATTTAGCCATTAAGCAGATAGAAATAGAAGCAAAAACAATGAAACAAACGTAGGACTATTTGATTAAAAAAAAAACAGACTTAAATAAAAACAAAAAGCTTAAGGATGAAAAAGTAGTTTAAAATTGCATATGGACTGCTCGTATATCAGGACAAAGCCCTGAATGTTACGACTTCTCTTTTTCCATATCGAACAGTTTTTGGGGAAAAAATGATTTACTTCAAATTTTGGACAATATCAAAGATCAAATGTGAAAATTCGAGTCGTACGAAAATACTACGACATATTTGCTAGCCTCAATTAAATTTGGAACAATTTTGTTGTGTGGGATAATTATTTACGCATAAATAATAAATATTCTTCAAAGCGCGCATAACTTAGTTCAGAGCATGGCCAAATTGGAATCTTTGAATCTCCTAGAACTTTACAAAAAATGATCAGAGGCAAAATATCTTTCTATTTCGATCGCCAAACAACGACTGAATAAAAACAACGACACCAAGCTTAAATATTCGGTTTTATGGGAAAGTCGGAACAATAAATAAGAAGCTTGCTTCAGGAAATCGACTTTTCAACCAGCCGAAAATTCCTCTCTTTGCGTCTAACAATTTCAAGTGAAAAGGTCCAAATGCAAGCTTTGTTCATGGTCGATGACGGATTTAAGCAACGGATTGTAGTATGATAAAGCCTCTTTTTTCCAAAAAAAATGTGTAAAAAAACTGTTGTTAAATTAAGTTTCATGATTAACTTTGATTACAATTGATAAAAAGTTTAAAAAAATTTCTATCGCATTTTATAGACTAAATCCAAAAAAAATGAAAATGTGATATTGTTCAATTTCATGTTTATTTAAACTTCATAAATTGAAACTTAAATGTTACTTAATTTTTGCTAATTTACAGTTAATTTGTCGTTGAGCCATGATTACAACACTTTCAATACTACGCCTACAGATGAAACAAGGCTGTTCGTATCAAAGCGATGCCCTGAAAAATCAGATTACCTTTTCAATTGTCTCGAATACTTTTCGGTTTGAGAAAAATTTGATAAAACTCTAAATTTAGCAGTTTTTTGATCTATTTCTAGCTTATAGACAAAATGAAGTACTAAATGATAAAATTTGAGCCTTGTACGGAATTAAGGGGCACACTAGCGTTCATCAATCAAATTTTGAGAGCAGAATAATTCGCTATGCTAAAATAATTCGCTATTCTTACATCAATGATAAATTCAATTCAATACGTCGCGCAGAAATTAGTCAAACATGTAGCCAAAACCATAGTTCTCAACTACACAGAAAAGCCACAACTTATTGCTTCCGAAATAAATTTCTAAACTTGAATTCATGGAGTCAATGCATTTCGTTGAAAACTATTATTGGCCTATATAAAAAAGCACATTCCTTTACTGCCTTCGGAAGGTCTGAACAAGTTAATTAGAGGAAGGACTAAACTAGAGACAAAATTTTAAACTACTATTTACAAAAATTAAGAAATATGGATTGAAGGCATTGAAGAATTCACAAAAGGCTATAAACATCCTCTTCTTGTTATGATCATAACTAATAAGCACATAAATTGGTCATATAAGAACCGTGTACTTTTTCCTAGCATCAGAAAAGCTCAGTTGACACAAAATTTCAGTGCACAATTTTCTCGAGACTTTCTGGAGAAACTGAGATTATTGTCACAATTTTCTGCGACATGAAAGATATTAAAAGTTACTTAAAAATAAATGGCTGAACAGGACACTAGCAATCAATGTAAAGTACTGAAGCATAAACCCGTAAATAAGTTGATTGGTTGCATGAATAGAGCACCTGTACATTCTACAGAACGCAAAATCTAGATTAGATAGAGGAAACTGCAGATTGTGCCAATTACGTATCTCGATTCTGAAAAGAATCCACGTAATTAGGCATCTTCTTCGTCCAGGTAATCGCCTTCAGGGAGATCCTCATGCTCGTGGTTTTCCTGTCTGGAGTTCTCCAAAGAGTAATCCAGTGACTGCGCTTCTACATGTGATTCCAGCTTGAACTGGATTAACTGACTACTTTCTTGGCCATGCAAAAGCCCAGTCACTCCAAGATCTTCTAGAAGCCGCTGGATAGGTCCATTCACGTTGATTCTATGCACAACTCCTGCTGTGAATGAGCTTCCCGGAAATAACCTAGCCAGTAATCTAGGGTCGCTGGTAGACAATAAGACCCTGTCTGAAGATGAGTCACTGTGACTCCTGCTAATCGGACTGGTCCTGTTTTGAGATGTCCTCAAACTTTGAGGTCGAGCTCCGCGTGATATGTCAGGGTTGGCTCTAGTTGATGAGTCATGCTGATTGAGACGCATGACGTCAATGGATATTTCTGAAAAAAACGCGAGCGTGAATTTTTAAAGTCGTATTTATAAATGTAATTGAACCAACCATCTCTTTGTATATGAAACAGTGCAAAGGTGACGTCCAATTTGTACCAACGGTCATTTGTGCCAAAATGAAAAATCGGTCCCATTTGTACCAAAATTATTCAACTCGATTTCTGATTGGTCGAATTGTGAGCCAACGAATTATTACATTAATTTTCTACTGTTCAAACAAAGAAAACTAAACAGCAGAATAGTGACCGCCGCAGTCGCGCCAACGTGTTGCGAGCTTGCCAACAGAGGGTAGGACTCTATACGAAAATTAGAGCCGGTTATCGCCGCTAAGCGGCGACGCGCGCGTAGCGCGCCCGCCGGCGACCTTAAGCCAAGAGCTTAAAGTAGTCGGCTTAATAGTCTTAGGCCAATTGAATATTTTTGGTACTAACGCAATTGATTTTTTATTTTGGTACAAATGGGACTGATTTATCATTTTGGTACTTGTGAATACCCACCAGTGCAAATTAAATGGAAAAATTGACCCCTATTATAACACAGGCATTGCTTGTGTATATACAAATGCATTTCTTCGGTTCTCTATTTTTCACTCAGATATTTGCAATGAATCTATGAATATATGAACTATTTACAAACAAATCAACGCTCAATATACTAAATAATGCAATATAGCGGGGAAATAGATCTATCGGACGCTTGATTTTACTAACAAATTCAAATGCGAGAGCTTTTCAGACGAGAAAAGCCACTTTACAATAACTAGCGCTTCACTCGGAGTGCAGCCAGTATTTAGACAGCCGCGTATTCATACTTGTCAGTATTTAGACAAATACTGTATGAACTAATCAGAATCGAGAAAAGACATAAATAATCCAAAATAAATAATAATTATTTATTTATTTCTTCTTTGTCTCGATTCTGATTGGTTGAAACAGTATTTGTCTAAATACTGAACCGGTCTGAATACGCGGTTGTCTAAATACTGATATGTAACCTCTTCACTCGCACCTACAGACTACAAATAAACTGGGCTCACCAATCAGAGGAATTTCAATTTCATTAACTGAACTTTTTATAAAAATCAACTTTTAGGCTCCTTATGACCAAAATGGTCTCATCTCCAAAACTGTTGAACTTCATCAGATATGAGAAATTTTAGATCAAAAAAAGGTTCCCAAAAAGCCGAGAGCATATCTCAGCGGTTGAAAAGTTTTGATTAGTCACATTTAGAAGAAAGCAGATTTAAAGCCCCTGAGTGTATCCTGGCAGCACCTCAAGATAAGTTTGCGAATTTCAAGTTTTATTAAATTTTTCTCCACTTTTTTTTCATTTCTCCACACAAAGTGTCAATCAACTAAAAGAGCTCAAAAAATTTCATTTCTTTTCGGAAAACTGCCACCAAACTGAATACGTTTATTTGCCAGTTAGGTAGCAAAAAAAGTAGGTTCATACTAATACACTCTGCTCGCCAAGTGTAAAAATTGGATCAAGACATAAATTATGATAAATCTCAAAATTAAAATCCAATTCCGAAACTAGAAGTCGTTCACACTTTTTTCGCGCTGTTTCCACAATTGGAGAGCGCAATTTGCCTGCCTTATAGAAAAGAATTTGATTTGAACTATAAAATAATATTGGTGAAACCGCAAAAAATCAAACTGGCAGGAGAATTTTCCTTAAAAAAAAACAAAAACAAGTCATCACCTTGGCACTTAGAAACGCGTCACCTTGAAACTCTTCGAATATATGATTGCCAACATTAAAATATTATTAACCCAATTTGAGTAAGATGTTTCAGGAGTAAATTTAATCAGCTGGGAAATCTTAAAAATAAAGTCCACTTTTGAAACTAACAGTTATTCAGGTTTTAGAGAACCATTAGCTCTTTTTTATCTGAGACAAAAACTCGCCTTTCGTTCGCCGAATAAAATTGAAGTGAACCGGCGAAAAATGCAAATGAGCGTGAACAAATTTTCATACTTTTCACGAAACAAAAGCCCACATTTTCTGTTAAATTTTTATAGATTCAATTTGTAAAAATTACGAAGTTCAGTGATTCAGTGATTTGATTTTATAACCAGTAAAACGAAATCCATCCTAGTTCCTGTCAGGTGTTTAGTCTATTGATGCAACTAAATTCTTATAAAAGCCAACTAACCGTTCGGAGCTTGGGTATTGATGACAACTGGAATGAAGTTGCTGTCAAACTCGTTCAGCAGTATTTGCAAGTAGTGGAGATTCCCGCCCGATGAAATAAGATGCAGCAAAGTCGTGAAGCAGTTCGAAGCCGATATGTTCCATTCACTTCGTCGAAAAGTGATGTACGCCAAAGCAGGCAAGTCTTGGATATCGAAATTGCTGAATGACTTAAAGTAAGCAGTTGATATGGCGAACATGTAAACCAATTCTTCGGGCCTTTTTACCGAGCGCGCAATGCGATCAATTTCGTCATCGGATAGGCTTGTTGCGTTTGATCCTAAAAAATATGTCATCAAAAAAAGTCTGAATGTTTGTTTCAATGAAAGTTGCTAGATGGCGGTTTTTTACCCCAATAGTACCTTCTGCGAAAAACTGACAGATAATTCTTGAGTCTTAGGACAAGTCAGCTTATTGATAAACCGGGGAAACGGTAGAGGAGATGTGGAAAACAAAACCTTTCAAAGAATTCAAACAACAAGGCTAGCAACCAAGAGATTATTACGTTGCATTGAAAAAAAGTTACCAATAGAAAAAAACATGAAGTCCTTAGCCGTGATTCCGCGCGGCTGAATCACGTTAACAAATTAAATGATAATGTACTTCCGAACTCCGATTGCTTCCCTAAAACTGCTTGTGGGAGAATTTTAAATCGATTTTACTCCTGTAACTTCACATGTTCCCGGAACATGCCGATTCTCTTCAGAAAAAAAGTACTATTTACCTTGGCTTGGCATTCGTTGCCTTCTAACAGGAGATGCCTGCTGACACAACTCCAGCGCGTCCTTCATAAGCGAAGTCAATTCGCTTTCTTTCAGGTACTTCAAGAGTGTCTTCAAATGTTTGCACGGGTCCCGGTCGCCTCGTTCCCGATAGAACACATTTGTGGCAATCCGAATGATCCAACTGCTGTCGTTAACAGGAGCCTCATCAGTTGAAGTTGACCTTGAAGCTGCCTTTAGTATGAAGTAGAGCGTTACTTCTGCTGGTCGTGGCGTCCCCCAGACGATCTCATCTATGTTCTTTATGACAGGAGGAGGACGAGGCATCATTCAACAAACCCATCTGAAAAGTCGAAATTAGGTTAAACTACTAGCGAAAAATACGGTTGGAAACGATGAAGCTCCACTTGAATGAAAATGCATCAAATAAAAATAAGCATTTCAACTAGAACAGATTTGATAAAATAAACGTAGCCGACAGACATTGAAAAAGGGCCCTGAAAGCAAGGAAACAAACAAACTACGTTCATGAGTCTTAAAAAGAATATCAGCAAAACATTGAAAAGAATCGCCTACGATTCTTCGTTTGCAAATGTTATAAAATCAAAACTGGAGTTTTTTTTGCAAATTCACCTACATGAGTTACTTACTACCCACGCACAAGTACAGCACACGCAAAAGCAGTTTCTATTTCAATTTGCAATTGACTTAAGTGGACCGACCATAGTTACTTTTAGCAGATTGCCTCGAATGGTTCATGCTTGCTCGTCCTAACTCTATACAGACTAAAAAGTATTGCTTCATTATAGAGATATAAATGCGTACTGGCCAAGCATCATAAATATTCTCAGGTATTTGAGCATTTTTTCAGTCTGCCTTACTTGCTCAAGAAGATGTCAGAGAAGTTCAGAGATGTGAAGTAAATGAAGAGTGATCAAATCATGGAAAACATCATGCATGGTGTCAAGTTAAAATCCTCCACCACCCCCCCCCCCCCCCAAAAAAAACCGATCCCTACATAGCGTAAACGTGCAAAAATTATTTCGTCAAACCTTCAAAATTAATACGTTGAGATGGCTTAAGCATGACGAGATACGTGTCAGACGCATTTAAATATAAAGTAGGTTGGAAAAACTAGGTTCAAATTGCAAACACGCAAAAACAATTGATTAAGATACACAGCTTCAGAATTTCTGGTGATTTGATTTTTTCTAGAAAATAATTTCCGAAATTCAACTTAAAACTACCTGTGTTGTTATCAAACGAGATAATACATGTCAGTGAGAGCAAATGAAAAGCCATACAATTTCGCCAAAATAAAAATTGCAATATCAACAATTTTTCAATAATTATCAGAAAAAGTCAAGGTCACTTTTTTAAATTCCGGCCACAAATTGTGCCAAAACAAAAATGAACGACTCTCTAGCCCTAGGAAATTAAACAATCTCGCCACCCAAAGTTCTTTTTGATACTACTTCAGAACATCTATCTTTGCTTCAACCAAACGTACCGTTTTTTACAAATGCTCCTTGAGCGCCAATATTTTCATATTTTAGAACCGTTCATAAGGAGCCCTACAACTCTAAGGAGCCCTACAACAAGAAGAGCTCGAAAAAATACGATTGGTCAAAGATGAAAAGATAGAAATCGTGCACCAAACGAACAAATTGTACATAAGTTGAAAATTTTTACAATTCTACATAAAATTCTATCAAATTAACGTTATGAAATAACGTAATTTATGTGTAAATCATTCGATTCGTTAAAATGACTATTCATATAGATATTTTAACCAATTGCATATTTTGTTTGCTCTTAGATCCTAAACGATAGCTGAATTATGTAGAGCAAGATATATAGATAACTTTACATAACTCATATTGAACTTAAGACGGTGGACAGCAACTTGGAGGAAAAGCAAACTAAACGTCACTACAAAAATGGAAACAAGATGTTAATTTTGTTTCGCAAAAATAACAATTGAGACGAAAAGCAAAAGCCAAAAATACTAATGACTTAAAACAAAACTACCGCTCAATTGAGAACCACAAATCTTGCAAAAATACTACAACATGACGCAATATAAGTTTGATAGACACTTAAAGTGAATAAATAGATACACGTTTTTTGGGAAGCTTAAACTTCTTCTTCTGCTTAATTTTTTATCGTTCAATCAGGAAATCGTTTAAACTGATTTTAGCAAAAAGATAAATCCATTTTGTACTGTTGGGTTTGAAAGTTTCTACTTAACCATTTTAATTTTAAAAGACTAATTTGCATTCAAAAGCGGGTACCCTCGGCGAAACTTTCAAATAACATGTCTCGTTGTCGAATCCGCTAAACAATAGGTCATTAGCATGAAATGAGGTACGACATTTAGCCATCTAAAAGACAAGGGTAAAATCCTACTGCTGCTTGATAAACTTTCTTCTGATACATCCTTACTTAACAAGAACGGATCATTTATGCATATGATGTTCAGTAATACCCGAAATTTTGTGGATTATTTCAAAATTGCGAGATAAGTTTTTGCTTAATCATGCACAAAGAATACGTTGATGAAGCTCAACGATGGCGACTACTGCTGACTGATTTAAAATGCATCAAGTACTACTACTTTTTAGCTGTATGCAACATATATATATACCAAGAATTCCCATTTTTCTGTAGAAGACAATTCTCAGACAGCGTCTTTTGAGAAAAAGGAGAGCAGAATCAGCGCGAAAACAACGAATCAAAGGAAGTAAAATAACTCAAGGTTATAAAATGGCGCTCAAGGAGATAGTGACGTTTTTATGCAGTTTTCCAATCTATATTCGCAGAATGAAACTATAACAAAACGTCATGAACAGCTTTCAACCCCAAAAAAACGGATATCGAATACTCCGCTGCATTACTATTATCCCTTATCTAGCTAGAACGAAATTAATTTTGAATAATAGTTTAATAAACTTATAGATATTCACTGAACTTTATAAAGTAACATTCCCTCCACCAATATAAACATCAAACTTCTCGAAAGTATCCAAGCTTTTTTAACCTCATAACTGCTTCACCTTCACAAAACAGACGAACAACCTGACTGCAAGTTCAAATGTTCTCTATTGCTCTGTTATCGAAATTTTTTTATGGCAGCACCAACTCCAACTCCAAATTATGTTTCAATCTCAGCGTTTACAGATGAAACTGGCGAAGACTGGTTGAAGCTCGAAGGACTCTTACAAGCCAGTATCACTGTTGAACGCAAACTACATGCACAAAATCATTTAGCTCGATATCTACATCTCCACCTATATGGAAAACAACTTAACTTCTATTCAAACGTTGATGAAGGTAAGCAAAAAGATCTCAAACAAGCTTTGGAGCAATTGCGAAACCGACACGCTTGGCCTGAACTTCATTAGTAGATAACCTTGCAATTATAAAAAAGTTCTGCTCCGAGAACACGAAAATGTCACGGAACAGATAAAGACCTCTGCTCTAAAATTTGCTTTGATAAGACCTTTGCTCTAATAAGTCTTTATACTGATCATCTGAAAACCTGACTACGCAAAAAAATATACAGTTCATGTTGTTTCCTTGGACTCTCCAAGTCAAAAATAGGAACTAGTGAAAGAATCGCCTCATCAGCTTTCAAACGATATGTAATTTGCAAAATAGTCTACAAAGAAAAAAGGGGAGCAATGACTATCATTCCAATCCTATTAACGGACAAGGATTCGGGTTAAATTTCGGCAACTGGTCTTTCAAATTTCATTATTAATACACAAACTATTGAAACCCTTACAATTAATTGACGACACCAAAAACACCAGCAAAATCAAGTGGGGCCCCAAGTATATTATTGCGCTATTATCAAGTTAACAGGACTAACACCAGCACGTTAAATTAACAAAGAAAATCGAATTGTGTTGTTGTGGTTTCATTTGGTCGATTATTATCTTTAAACAGAATGCCCACAACTTCAGCTTAAGACAAAAATCAAAACATGCTATTTGTTTTGTTGCGGTTTCATCTGGTCCTAAGTTATCGTTGAAAAAGAATGCCCACAACCACGGCTTCTCAAAAGTTACAGAATTATTCTAATCTAAACGGCATTAATGATAGCGTCTCCATAGCACAGTAATCAGACCTTATTCTCAAAAAATCTGCCTATTATCTTAAGGTATCAACTGACATTGAACGTCAAGTCTTTAAAAATGTTCAGTGCAAACACTTTCAAATAAAACAGAACTCTACAGAAACAATTGAAAACTATCGTTACAGCAGAAGTTACCTTCGATTGAATCAAAAGTAACCTTTCATCAACTATGTCTTTGTAGCAAGAACCAAACAAAAGCAATGCCACACAGGCAAAAAGCACCTGAGTGAAAATCAACTTATTTTAAATTTTAATGTTGATACGATGATCTTCATTTCACCAATCCCAAAAATGATCATACTATAACCGCCGTTTCATATACCAATCACGGTTTAGCCCGACACTCTTACTCTCAAAACGCAAACTCTCGAAACTCAAACTTAACTTTTCCTCAGTGCCTCTCTGCAAGCGCAATTGACGACAAACGTCATTCTGAACTTTAGATTTCCCGACTTTATTGCTCTTTGCTACGAAGACATAATAGCCCTGTGAAAAAATCTATGAAACAATGGCATTAGTTGCAATAACTTTTCTTACTTCTCCCCTTCATTTTCATCCTCATTCCGTGGATAAACAAACCAGATAAACCATTTTGAGCTCAGCATAAGCCTCAAAACAAAGAGTTCTTTGAAGAAAAAAAAAGCTCATAATTTCCGTTTTAGAAAATTTATTTTGAATTTGAAATTAACCAATGGTTCATGTGTGAGAAGACAAATTGAGATTGACAGATAATAAATCAACAGAATCAAGCAACTAACGATTCCATTTACGATATCGTTAATTCTTCCGCTTAAGGCCCTAATACGACAAAAAATCCCTTTCTCTTTTCTTCCATATCTCATTGCCGATTCCGGTCACAATGCCTTCTCTCAGTTTGAAACTGTCAGCAAACCCTAATTCATTCCCCATGAAAAATCGCGTGACAAGAATATGACTCACACGGGACAATGACCTCTTACCAACTCTAATACCAAAAAAAAACAGAAGAAAAATTTAGTTATGATAGCCTGCAAAAATAGAAAAACATGTTTCCAAGAAGATCTTGATAAAAATATTTCTTTTATCTCCTTTCGTAATTACTAAGAGGAGATCTTGCCTCAAAGAAAACAAATTTCCTAATTCTAATTTAAGAAACCGTTTCGAATTTTTTCCTCGTTCGTACAACACGCCCCCAAGCAATGTTAAACATTAACAGTTTTTAATAAAAAAGGCACAGTTCCGCTTCCTAGAATCCAAAAACTTTACATACATTTTAAAAACCATACAAAAACAATGTTACTGTACCATCCTGTCAAAATGCTGGTGTTGATCAGTCGTCAGAAAATTCGCCATCGCTTATATTTATAACAAGCTTCTACAAAAATTTTATAACCTTCTTTAAGATAAATTAACAAAAAATCCAAAAAACAAGTCAACCTGAGCTCTACTAAAAGGAAGCCAGAGAAACGAGAAAACCTCGAATCGAAAGTTCAATAGGTATTTTTTATGCATCACACTCTATTCAAAGGTTTGAGAAGAAAAATCATCCAACCAACATTTAAAAAAAGATATTACCCTTAGCGTAACTGAATTTGTAAATTTTTGTCCATTTTCAATATAAAAGGCTAGTTTTGTTCTTTTTTCACGGCCCTATCTAAGATAAATTCCATCAGCATTTTTCGGTCCTATTCTCTATCTCATTATTGATTTCCAATATCAAGCCTGCTTCTAATCTTCATTTAAAACTAGTTTCGACGGATATAGAATGCAACAACTATATAGCATTTTTAATCTGTATGCACCATTAAACCAAATAAAGCAAACCAAATATTCCCTTTCATCTGCAGAAGACAATTCTTAATTCACTTTCTAAGAAACAGTTACTTTTGAGAAAAAAAAAGAATCAGAGCGCGAAAATAAACAAACAAAAAGCAAAATAAAAATCTGGGGAAAATGCCATGCAAAACATTTGAACTTTAAACACAGAGGCGAAGCTAAGCTTCGCACAATTTGCGATATAAAACAAAAAAAATGAAGAAAAAATCGAAAAGTTCGAAAAGAGTAGATCTATCAGAATGAATAAGGCTAGTTTGAAACTAAAACCTGTCAAAACAAAACAATGTGAACAACGCATCGGAAGAAAAAGTACACAGCGGTAACGAAGCCAAAAATACCTTGTCAGAAACCTTTTGAGCCGACAAAAAACTCAACGAGACTTTAGACTTCAAGTTAAAAAATCCACCTCACTCTCCAAACACAAAAACACTCTTAAAACTTTATTTGCTTGTCACATAAAAAATATCAGGCCACTAAGCCGATATAATATAGGCCGAAACCAATTCAGCCCTAAAATGAAAAAAAAAAATAGACGAAAAAATTTAAAACAATTAAGACTAATAAGAAGTTATTTAGTCCCTCTCAACCTCAAAACCCAGTCACGCACACAAAAACCTTTTTTACTAGTCAAAAGATGCAATATGAGGCCAACAAAACAATTTAAATAGGCGAAATCTATCGAGCTGAAAGAAAGGGAGAAAAACAAAAAAAGGAAAAAAGTTGTTATCATGAAAATCTCTGTATAACAATAACTCGAATAAGACGTTAAGCACTTTGCATGATCCAGAGGTGAGCTTAAAATTATTTTTCTGTTGAAATGAATCAAAATTAGGTCAATAAGTTGATAAAAACAGGCCGAAATCATTTGGGCAGAATAAAGGTTTTAACCAAAAAAAAGAAAGAAAAAAGAAAGTTTAGTAAAATTAAAAACAGCAGAAGTAAATCACAACACTAAAAGCAGCTGTAATGTACAAAAGAACTAAAAAAGAATTCTATTATATGGCACCTAAGCCGAAAAAGAAAAAGCAGACAATAATAAGTCAGTTTTTTTTTGAAACGGACAATTTTGTCAGATTCAAACTCAATACTTTTGGGGTCCCAGGCGTATTCGTTTCCTCCAAACTAATTAAGCCGGACACGCTTAGAAATTTGAATTCATACGTCCTAAGAAACCAATTGATTCAAGTGATCCTGTTAAACAAGTTGTTAACCCAAAAAGTCTATATTCCGATTTGATAATGCTTGCTAATCGCAAGCGTAATTAAGAACGGAGCAAAACTTACTAAGCGGAAACAAAATCGACAACTTTTGAGCAGAGACCAGTTTAGCCAAAAATAATGATTAAACCAAAAACTATGAACAGTTTCAAGTCCCCCAGAAACTGCATTACACAACACTTGCAACCACCATATATTTGCTAATAGCACAAGAAAAATTCGTGGTCTGACACCTAAGCCGACAAAAATTGAGAGGACAAACGAAGGCTGAGACTTCACAAGAACCCGGAAAATGTTAAAAATCAATATTAGAGCAAGCGCAATTTCCTGTCAGAAAAATTGTTTGTGGCAGTACATATTGTTGAAGGTGGAAATTGTTTCCACAAATACCTGTACAAACTAAATTCAATAAAAACTGAGAGAACACGGATTCATCAAATAGCGCTTTCTGTTTCATGAAATAAACTATTTCTGAATAAAGTCAACTTTTAGGTTATTTTTTTATTAAAATGGTGATTTGCCCAAAATACTAGGTTTCAGATCTTCGTTTTTTTCATTCAGAAATTATACCTAAAAAATTTGACAACATACAACTGTACTTTCTAATGAAATTTCTAAAACAAATGACTTTTTGCTAACAGACTACTTTAATAAATGAGATTTTCGCCCAATTTCATTAGCTGGAGCGTATATCGTTTGCTGCCATCAATAGTTCAATCTTGTGTAATTAATTACGAAACATCAATCTGTCTTTTTGATCAGACTCGTCATTAATCGGAAAATAAAAAAACTTTGATCAGTCGTGCTTAGAGGCCAGATTTTCAACACATGTTAGAACCATGGCAGCACCAAATTTTGCAAAATAAACACTTTAACTTGCGTTGCAAAAAAAAACAGTACAGTTACAGCATTCGCTCTCCAACAGATGTATGATGAAACGTTCAAATCCGTAGATGAAGTTGGAAATTTGCATTCGATTGTTCACGTGGATTAAAAAATGTACTCCAACAATTATCAAACGAAATAGATGACGGAAAAACTGTTTTTACAATTATCGTTGAGCTTAAGAAAAAAAAATATTTGGATACAACATAAGTGTCCATAAACTATTGGAAGTCTATCTCAAACCCATTATCATTCAAACAAAAAAGATCGGGAAATGAATATCCAGGAAAATTTATTAAAGCGTAACAACAAGCGCAGTTGTGTAGCACACATCTAATTAAGTCATTGCCTGAAACTTCGCCTCAATTCATCCAAAAAAATGTTATGGACATTTTTTAATAGTAAAAAAACCTGAATTTGCATTATATACAATATTAAGCAATTGAATTTCAAAATCGGTCAGAAATAAAGAGCCCGATCAAACTGCATCCACTCATTCGCTGCTTGGTTTCATAAAGTTTCTGCATCCACCATACTATCTGACTCTTGGACTGCAACAGGCGGAGCACTGCGCATTTCACCAATGAAATGATATACATCATCTGGAATTATATGTGCAGTTGCATCTTCAAACTGTAAATCTTCTCCAGGGGCAGAAAGCGCTGGAACTTCACCGTGAACGTCATTCTCTTCAGGGAGTTCAAGGCTACTGTCTTGGCACAGGAAATAATTTCTTATACCAAGGTACGGATCATCTTGACTGTAGTTGGATGAAGTTTGGAAGATAATTCCAGGAAGATTATTTTCTAAATTTAAAGCCAAAATTCAGATATTCAGTTTAGATATCTTTTTAAACATTGGATTCAAAAATATAAAAATCACGCCGGTAATAAAGTTTTGCGAAGCTCAGAAAAAAACTGAAACTTAAAAGCAAAAACAAAAAAAACATGAGGGTTTTTCTGACACCCGGTTTTGGTTTCAAGTTATGTGACAGAAAAATAAAAGTGTTCTCTAAAAGCGCTGGCAAAAAAAACGGCAAAATATAGCTCTAACAACTCAAAACAGCACAAAATTAGCCAGCGAAACAATTTATGACGGTAACTGCAATCACTGATAATTTGCAAAATTCTCATATACTACCTCGATTTCGATCCCGATTTTCACAACCGGTCTTTGGGAATCCGGTAAAACTTTGGAATTTTCGATGTTTTTGAGGGAATCGGGTCAAAGTCAATGTCATAAGTAAACAGAACAACATAGCCTGTACTAGTACGCCCGACTTGGAGCAGCATAAAAGAAGAATTCTTACCATCTACGAGCTCAATGTTTAAAGGAGCTTGGCCCGCGTGTTTGAACAACTCCAAAAACCTCTCTAATTGTTCGACGCCAGTATTGGCCACAAAATTCAAGAACTGCGCATAATGATTGCCTCTCTCTAGCCTGTTTTGCGGCTCCTCGTTCATCATAGCATTGATCATTGCATTTAGATCAATTCGAGCCTGTTCGCTCAATCCTGGTCCGATGATTCTTTGGTAAGCGAACATGATCTGTGCTCTTCCTCGACCTTCCCGTGCCAATTTGTCAACGTTTGCAATGTGTACCATTGGAAAATCTGAAAATGAAAACTCAAGTCGACTCAATTGAAAACAGAAACCCCCAAAAAATCGAACACTGTGTCAATCTATTTCTAAAATAATTGGATTTCTTAAAAGACTCGTTTTAATAATGAATTTATTTGAAAAAATAAATAAAGCGAACATACAATTGGGAAAGAGTCAATGAACCCAAGTAAACAGAAAAAATATTGACTTGTGTTTTTGAAAAAATCTCAACTTTTGAATTTCAGAGAAAAAACATAGATGCCTTCAAAGCGCTTTGAATTTCTAGAACAAATTATGACTGGCCTTTTTTGATGAAATTAACCCCATTTGACAAAACACGATCAATAAGTAAAATTTTTATTTCGTTGAGAAATCTGAAAACTAAAAACCATTTTTGAAACTAGAAGACACGTTGTCGAGACCTTTACACTTTTCGTGCTCGATAGTGGAATTTTCCTTGCTTTCAAAAAAGGACCTTTACACTTTTCGTGCTCGATAGTGGAGTTTTCCTTCCTTTCAAAAAAAGGACCTTTACACTTTTCGTGCTCGATAGTGGAGTTTTCCTTCCTTTCAAAAAAAGGAATTTTACACTTTTCGTGCTCGATAGTGGAGTTTTCCTTCCTTTCAAAAAAATGACCTTTACACTTTTCGTGCTCGATAGTGGAGTTTTCCTTCCATTCAAAAAAGGACCTTTACACTTTTCGTGCTCGATAGTTGAGTTTTCCTTCCTTTCAAAAAAAATGACCTTTACACTTTTCGTGCTCGATAGTGGAGTTTTCCTTCCTTTCAAAAAAAGGACCTTTACACTTTTCGTGCTCGATAGTGGAGTTTTCCTTCCTTTCAAAAAAAGGACCTTTACACTTTTCGTGCTCGATAGTGGAGTTTTCCTTCCTTTCAAAAAAAAAGGACCTTTACACTTTTCGTGCTCGATAGTGGAGTTTTCCTTCCTTTCAAAAAAAGGACCTTTACACTTTTCGTGCTCGATAGTGGAGTTTTCCTTCCTTTCAAAAAAAGGAATTTTACACTTTTCGTGCTCGATAGTGGAGTTTTCCTTCCTTTCAAAAAAAGGAATTTTACACTTTTCGTGCTCGATAGTGGAGTTTTCCTTCCTTTCAAAAAAATGACCTTTACACTTTTCGTGCTCGATAGTGGAGTTTTCCTTCCTTTCAAAAAAAGGACCTTTACACTTTTCGTGCTCGATAGTGGAGTTTTCCTTCCTTTCAAAAAAAGGACCTTTACACTTTTCGTGCTCGATAGTGGAGTTTTCCTTCCTTTCAAAAAAAGGAATTTTACACTTTTCGTGCTCGATAGTGGAGTTTTCCTTCCTTTCAAAAAAATGAGCTTTACACTTTTCGTGCTCGATAGTGGAGTTTTCCTTCCTTTCAAAAAAATGACCTTTACACTTTTCGTGCTCGATAGTTGAGTTTTCCTTCCTTTCAAAAAAAATGACCTTTACACTTTTCGTGCTCGATAGTGGAGTTTTCCTTCCTTTCAAAAAAAGGACCTTTACACTTTTCGTGCTCGATAGTGGAGTTTTCCTTCCTTTCAAAAAAAGGACCTTTACACTTTTCGTGCTCGATAGTGGAGTTTTCCTTCCTTTCAAAAAAAAGGATCTTTACACTTTTCGTGCTCGATAGTGGAGTTTTCCTTCCTTTCAAAAAAAGGAATTTTACACTTTTCGTGCTCGATAGTGGAGTTTTCCTTCCTTTCAAAAAAAAGGACCTTTACACTTTTCGTGCTCGATAGTGGAGTTTTCCTTCCTTTCAAAAAAGGACCTTTACATTTTTCGTGCTCGATAGTGGAGTTTTCCTTCCTTTCAAAAAAAGGAAATAAACTGAACTTAAAATATTTCAAAGTCAAACCGCGAAAAAGTAAATTTGAGCCTGAACGAGTTTCAGGACTTCTCGTGGGGAAAACACAAAAAATGACTGACCTCGACCTATAAAAGACACTGAATTCCATTAATCGTTTCTCAATATTTTACAAAAAAAGGTTTTAGATGTATTTTACGGATGTATTTTTAAGAAAAACTGCTGAAGATCTTAATGTAGAGAAAGGGTGCTCATCTTGGTCCCATGGCTATATCCCTCAAATTGATTCAAAGTAGAAAAATAAGATAAAGCAAAGATAGCAGGTTGATGGGCCAGTAGAACAGAATGTACCGACCACAAGGATCAAAGCAAAGAAATTCAATTTTTCAATTTTTTTCCTGTAAGGTTTAATTAAGTTAAAAATCTGCAACAAAATGGCAATATTAGCTAAAATAGCGTTAAAATCAATAGAATTAAACTGACAATACAGACATTTGGTCTGAAACCGAAACCAAAAATATTCAGACGAGTTTTTCTCAAACTTCTAATGTTTTTTTTTCATGACTAGAATGACGACCACTAGGGCTTGAAAATGATTCCATATTCGAACACCTGCGAGCATTTTTTAAGGTTCCCATTCTTCGAGAGTGGTCGGAACGGAACATTAAGCTACTTGATTTTTTACAACACTATTATCATACTTGTCAATCAAATAATCCATCGAAAAAGTTTTTATAGCAGATGACTTCTTTCTCTGTGTTGAAGTAGCAGTCAGAATTGAAAAAATGGATTTCGTAGACTGTATCATCTATTTCAACCAATTTGGATGTTTGTGAACTATGTGAAAAGCTTCCGTTAAATTCTTGCTTGCAACCGAAAACAAATTTGTTACCGAGAACCCAAATTGCAACTGCAACAGTTTGGTTATTCACAGAAACGAATGCGGCATCAAAGTAATGATCAAAATGTTCGTGGTGACGTAGATGACCTACGTGACTTTCTTGCTCGGTATCTTTTTCCAGTGGACAGAGGCCAACCAGAACAGGGTATCCCTCTGAATTGCAGAAAAGATGAATACCAATAAGTAGAAAGTCTGGGCTTAAGTTTGACGAAATTAAATTCTGATTAGTATCACCAACGCATATTTCCTTATACTTAGTGCCAGCAAAATTTATGGACTCTTTTCCTGGGTCAAAGAATCCATAGATGCAGTCAAATCTACCGCTATCGTAGTAGAATCCAAGTACGTCATTTTGATCAACTTCCCAGCGGTCTAGTAATTCAACTTTCCCCTCTGAAGTCTTCAAAGCACGGAACCCCCTCTTATCAACTTGAAAAACAATGCCGCCGAAGCAGGAAAACATTCTGAAAAATCTCACTTCAACGTTGTTAAGCTGTCTTAATGATGTTTGACCATTTCGATCAATTAATTCGAATGAAATTAGAGTGCTGTCTCTTTTGAAGTGAGCAATACAAAAATGAGAATCTGACGCAGCACATCTAACTCTTTCATTGGGATACACTCTGAAATATTTGCACCCTTCAGGTAGATTCAAATTTCTTTTGCTCAGAATTTCATTATCTTCAGCAATACATTGTAAAGAATCAACGATTTCTTCAGCAAAATTACGAACAGCTCCTCGAAGCGAATCTTTCAGATTTTTCCGAGAAATCAGAAAGAATGTGCTTACGTTATCTAACAAAGGCACCAAGCTATCGATGCAAGCATTCGAATCATCTCTTGATAACTCCAAGCATTTATGATTAAATTGTTTCACCAAGCTACCGTCTGAAAGACTCAATAGTTCGCGCAAGTTGCTTTGCTTAGTCTCGAATGAGTCCCGGACATCTTCAAGCTTTTTCACTGCATTTGCCGACATCTTGTTAGCACACATTGTGGCTTCAGTAATTTCATCAACCTTTTCTGCATACTCCTCGAGCACTTCGTTGAACATTTGAAGCATTTGGTTGTTAAAATTTTGTCCAGCAGAAAAATCTGAAAGGATCTCTTTAAGCTTCTGCGAAAACTGTTCCGCGCCTTCTAAACTTTTTACAATTGGTTTGTAATCTTTATCAACACTGCTTATAGCTTCGTGAATTTCCCTTTTAATAGCATTAGCCCGTTGCTCTAACGGTATAATGGTATGCTTTTCAACAGCGTGTTGCTGCATGCACAAGTTACAAATCAGCCGATCGCAATCTTCGCAAAAAGAACTGCACCACACAAAATGTTGTTCACACACGACCACTTTCGTTCGTTTATAGTCCAAAACATCATGCTTCCTCCTTGTGTGTGATTGAACACAAATTTCACAGATAAATAGGTTCACTTTCTCATCAGAGTGGAACCTGATCTAAACTACATTTTATGATTGGATAAATTAGATATTTTACCATTGTAAAGTATTTAATATTAACCAATCATGATCCATCTAACTAACAACCCACTTATTTGTAAGTGCTGAAATTACTTGTAATTTCAGCACCAGAGAGATTTGAATTTAACTTAGAAATTAGTTGACTCTCCAAGCGAACTTCAGCAGCCGCAATAAACCAGTATACCCTAGATCTATTGAGCCTAGCAGAGACTAGTGAAACAACCTGAGACTAGATAGTGTAAGAGTAAGATTAGGATCGGTATTAGACTAAGAAGTTGCACGAATCTATCCGGCCGAAAATAAGATAGCGTGACGAGCAGACGGTGTACCCTATCCGAAATTACTCTATGAGTTAACCACCTCGGTTATAACTCATCTGGTGCGACCATAAGTCTCGAACAAGACCTTCATAGCTTAGAATTAACCAAAAATAGATTAGAATTTAGACAAAACATTTTCAAAATGTTATACGACGATAATTTAATCGAAATGTCTCTACGACTCAATAGATCAGAGCCAATATTCCGAACGATAATAGAACTACCCGGAATTGGAAGAATACCTCGAACCAGAGACGACATACGACAAAGTAGAAACTTACCAAATAGTTATATGATAGTACGGCAAAAGCCAACACAAACTTTTTTATTTAGAATTTTATTAGCAATGAATTTAGATTTTCATTTGCAAACATAAAATCTTGAAGCCAATCTTCATGATCATTACAGGCGCTAAACAAAATATTAATATACAATAACGATTGATAAAAATATCTCAGATCGTTTTCCTAAAATTCTGCAGTATTATATAAAACATGT